ACCCAACACCTAAACTGTTCCAGGTGCATTGCACATGCAAAGCTCGGACGCTTTTGGCGCAAAGAGGTCACTGCAAATCAATGTAAAGTTGTTCTGAATGATTATCTATATATTGAGGTACAATTATTGCCTTGATTAAAATGGTCTCTTCCAGCATAAGTAGACACCTTCATATTATATATTGTATTGTTTATTAACATTTAGGAACTTTTGTGTGAAATATTTTTATCTTTTATCTGTTGCTGCTGTTACACTTGAATATCCCATTCGTGGGACAATAAAGGCTGTTTCTATTCTATTCATGTTGAACATATATGGTATGGTATGGTATAAAGTTTATTCATTAAAAAAAAAAAAACAATTCCTTAAACTATAGAAAAAAATACAAGAGATTTAAAATGAAAGGCAGCAGAAAGAAGAAAAAAATCTTATTATATCTGCCCCTTTTTTCAAACAATTAATTTAATCATAATAATCTTCAAGTAACAGAACAAAACAAATAACTCTTTCTAATTTTTCTAACTCTAATACAAAACACACTAAGCTACTTCATATATATTTTTACACATACCGTAGACCAGTCGATTTACTTATTTTTCCTGAATACTTAGTTATGAATACTACAAAGGCAGTAAAAATATAGGTAGCAAATGTCTGTCTAAATATTTGAATACATTTTTACTCACAGCTGCAACTTAAATATCTACTTAAAATCATGATGGAAAACACGTGTGTGAGGATTTCAAATATGTTAGGATAATTTTTAATCTTATTAAAGCATAGAGCTGTTTGCCTGCAGTTCCTCAACATTAGATTGTAATTGACTAATTTTGGATGTTTTAATCAGCTGCAGTCGTGGCTCTGATGTCCCCGTTCGCCAACCAACATCCTTAAATTCCCAGAATCTTGGTTGTCATCATCCTTCGCTAATAAACCGCAGCAGTGCCCCAGCCTAAATAAACCATGTATATTCATGTTCAGAAAATATAACCACTATGTAGAACAGGGAAGAAGAAAGTGCTGCAGCAAGTTAGGCCGTGAATTATAAAAATTATGTCATGCAGTTCAGTTGTTTTGAATTTGAATAGAAATTAGAAAGTGTACAAATATCACTGCTCCCAGCAGATGATCTGCATGTTTAACTGCTGTTATAACTTTTAAGCGCACTAAATGTAATTTAAGTTACTCTAACTGTGAAATTAGGTACAAGTAAAATATGTCACCGGGGAGTTATTTGTACTTGAAGGCAGATTGCAGGCTGGTGTAGAAACTACTGAACAGAAATGTGCAAAGATGCTACAGAGCAGAAGCTTAAATATATTTCAACATAATGCAAACACAAAACGGACAGTAAAAGTACACAAACCGTATAGAAGAGACTAATAAAAACGAGATGGAGCAAGACTGAAAGAAATATGAACCGGCAGCAAACAGAGAAAGCAAAAGAACTTGAATACTGAAAGGACACAGTGGTCAGTTGATCAAATGCATCCATCCATTCAGTTTTGTTTACCTGCTTTTCCATTCTGGGTCACAGGGATGTAGATGGAGAACAAAACACATGAACAGAGGGAGGACATGAAACAAAACCTAAAACACAAATAATGAACCTTTACAAAGTAAAACAGGAAAGGAACAAAATATATAAACTAGAGAAATCGCATTCTGCGAAAATGCAGTGTGAATGCTTATTGCAGAAGAACTTGCTGAAATAAGCTAAAAACATTCTGAAATGTAGCTGAAATGGAAGAACAAGCCTAATTTAGCAGAAAAAAGCAGAACGGACACATATTTGCCAATTAGATTTAAATGAACAGAAGTGAGCACAGAAAATTTGGAAATTAGTTTTAAAAAGCTGAAATGAGAAAAAAAAATAGCTGTAAAGTAGCTGAAAAGACAGAAAGAAGCTTAAATTGTCAGAAGGAAGCAGAAAGAGCTGAAATGAGCTAAAAAAAATGTGGAATTAGCTGAAAAAGCTACAAACTGTAATAAAAAAGCTAAATAGTTGCTGAAAGAGACGAAATAGCTTAAACTAGCTGAAAAAAGCTAAAAGGAGCATAACAAGCTGAAATTAGCAGAAATAAGTTAATTAGACTGAAAGTAGCAGAAATGATCACAAAATTGTGGAAATTATCTGAAAAAAGTTAAAAATAAGCAACAACAAAAAAAAACACACAAAAAAAAACAGCTGAAATGTAGCTGAAAGGCAGAAAGAACCTTAAATTACCAGAAGTAAGTTGAGAGAGCACATTTTTGCTGAATTAGACTGAAAAAAGCTGAAATAAGTGCAAAAAAAATGGAATTGGCTTAACAAGCATAAAAGCATAAAAAGCTAAATAGTAGCTGAAATAGCAGAAAAAGCTGAAAATTGCAGAAATTAGTTGAAAGGAGCATTAGATGCTGAAATTAGCAGAAAGATGTTATACAAAGCACAAAAATGTTGTACAGGTAGTTAGCAGAAATAATTAGAAAGGAGCAAAAAACAGCTGACAAAACAGCTGAAAATAGCTGAAAAAAGTTTAAATTTGCACAGGGAAGCTGAAAGAAGCTGAACCAGAATAAAATGTGGAAGGAGCAGTAAACAGATGTAAAGATTTAAAGGATGTAAAATGAACTCAATTCATTTTCTATGAGGGAAAAAAATGGCAGAAAAGGCTAAATATTTCAAAAAGCTAAAGTTGCACTAATACCAAAAGTCATAGCAGGATTGTCCTGAAAGAGCTGAACATTTTGATATATGATTTGTTGAAATAGAACAAAAATTGTGGAATAAAAACGATGCAGAAAAACATATGGAAGAAAAACGGATCACAATAGTGTGTATGCTTCATAAGTATCCTGATGCATGCTCAATAATCCAGGTAGAAAAATCTAAAAAAGTTAAATCTGGTCCTCTGGACATTCAAAAAACCCCAAAACAAAGCAAAACAACAAAAAATGTAGAAACGTTTCGTCTCTC